GGGGGCAGCACCCGAGGGGGAGGAGGGGGGCTACCTGGCGTGATGGGAGCTCCCCGATAAGGACGTGTGCGTTATGGGGAAGGGGGGGGGGGCTGCTTCGGAACGGGTTGACGGCAAGGGGACGACGATGTTGGCCCGGCCGCTGCTGTGCCTCCTGCTTGCACAGCCAACGAGGCGTAAGCTGACCGGCTGGAGGGCCGAGCTGTATAAGGCCGGAGCAGGACTGGACAGGCCCGCTGGACAGTCTGCTGTGCCCTTTCTGCCCCCCTGCTCGGCGAGGCGCGGCCCGTCACCCGCCTGGAATGTTGAAGGGGGAAGAGAGAGGGGCAGCAGGGCGAATGGGTTGTCGCTTATGATGGCTTCGGCATCAGCAGCAGCAGGACTTCGACAGGACCGTTCAGCAGGAGGCTGCGCAGCAGCAGCAGTTCGACAGGCCCGTGCAGCAGGCAGCAGCAGCAGGACCTTTCAGCAGGAATGCTGCGCGGGGCGGCGGCGCGCGCGCCATTACCGCTTAATTCCATGGTAGTGGCGCGGCACGGCAGCGATCGTGTGGCGCGTGTGGTAGTTAGGCCCCTTGTGCCAGTCGGATTGGAAACGGATCGGGTCGGAGCAGCAGAGAGTCAGCGCTGTGGAGCTGCGGAGCCGGCCGGCCGCCACGCTCCTCCCTCTCTGCGCGCGGCCTCCACAGGCCCTCCAGGCCGCAGCTCCAGGCTCGCTCCAGCGCCGGCTCCAGCTATGCAAATACACGGCTCTGCTGCCCCGCTCCAGGCCGCGCAGTGCGTGCGCGCGACGCGCGTGCGCCCGCGGCTCACCCCGCTTCACCCCAGCCCAGCCCGCCCCGCCCCGCCGATCCAACTCGGCCCGACTCGCCTGCCCGCCTGATCGCCGCGAAATGATGAAGCCATTTTCATTATTTGCAGACCCGCGGGCGCCGCGCGCGCTATGCCGTCACGTGACTCCGCGTGCCGCCGCGGGGTCACAAACGACATAACAATCGCAAATTCGCGTTTATTCATTTGTTTCTCAATTTTGCATTACTTGCGGCTTAGTTTTGTTCTGAGATGATGACCATGATGAGCATGTTCTTAGAACGCCGTGCAAAGTACGCACGGGTAATGCTCGCCTTTCGGTTTGTTGTCGCCACATGGCATACGGCCCGCTGGCGCGGAGCGCTGCTGGAGGCGCCGTGAATTCTTCGCTAATGGTGGTGGGCGCGGAGCTCCCCCGCGGGCCATGGCCGGGCCCAGCAGCCCGCAGCGCTGCGGCTGCTCCGAGATGTCTCATCTCTCCTCTCTGCGACTTGGACTCTCTCATGCGCTCGTGCAGGTGGCCGCCCGCCCCGCCCGCTCTCCTCCCCCTCGCACTCTTCCCTCCTCTCCCTCTCCGATGGAGAGCCTTTTCCCGGAGTCGCACCGCGCAAAGTGCAGCGCCGTTTGCAATCGGAGCAGCAGCAAAGCGGCCAGCGCACCGCGCGCGGGGCGGGGCGAGGTGGGGTGGGGTGCGGCGGCAGGGCGTTCCCCGCGCGGCTTACACATTCCCCCGCGGAGCCAGGAAACGGAGCACTAGTAATAGTATCGGAACCCCCGATGGATAAAAAGTAGTTGTAATAATAATAATCTCGATGGATCGGAACGGAGAAAAATAAGGAGAGAGACAGAGCGACGCAATCTCATAGTCTCGCTGGTGATGGCGATCCCTTGTGTCGTGTATTGGTGTTTGTGCGTCGTACGGGCTTAAATCAACAGGTGGGGCCGTCGGGGAGGGTACACAGTATGTACGTACCATGAGGGGCACTCGCATTGGACGCGCTGGCCATTGTGTCGGCCCGCCCCGCCCCGCCCCGCCCCGCCC